TCTCTCTCTCTCTCTCTCTCTCTCTCTCTCTCTCTCTCTCTCTCTCCCTCTCTCCCTCCCTTTCTCCCTCGCTCTCTCTCTTTCTCGGGACCCTGCCACCTGCCATCGAAGTTGGGAACATCTACCAGATGAGGAGAGAAATGAAGCTGGTCACCTAAACAGCCCAAGCTGATGGTCAGCCAGCTCCAGAAATGGGAAGAGAAGGAAGAGATGTGATCCTTTGTACGTCAGCGACTGTCAAATACCTGAGCAAGCCAGCCAAGGTCAGTTATGCCTGGCCCATATTAACAGAACCACTCAGCTAACCATAAGCATGACAGCAATAAAAACACTGCTATCTAAGCAACTACACTTTTGAGGGTGTTTTATTACATGACAATAGCTAACTAATACCTCATTCAATTTTAGATGTCCCCTCTTAGTCAACAAGGTTTACCCCCTGGCTTTCTTTATTTTTCTTTGTAGCACTTACAAAGATATGTGATATCTGTCTCTCTCAAATGGAGTGAAAGCAGATATTTGTGCTCTTGACACAGAACATGCACTCAAAAATCATATCTTGAAGAAGTGAATGACATGGATTCCTTAATATCAGTACTTTGATTATATTTCTAATTACTGGGAGAAGATCTCATGTAGACTAGTGTTCAGAGGAGACTGGTGAGGTTTGCAGAATTGTTCCTGAAGCTAACTTTCATTATTTCACAAGAAGGTGAAGGAACAACACTGAAATGCCTAGAATCTTCCATGTTTACACTGAAATGGGCAAGTTAATTACCTGTTATCCAAGGAATTCAACTTATAGCATGCTTAGAGCCACAATTTCCTTCACTCATAAATCCAAGTGATGGCTTTACAGGGAAAGTTGACAAATGATGAGAAAAGTCACCGAGGAACACTACCAGATCTTTCTAGAATGACAGCTGAAAGAATTAGGGAAACACCTTTGTAAGAATAAGTACAATGGAGAGAAAGAGACCCAAGAGCAAAGGGTGGTACAAAAGGGGACAGAGTGGGAGAGCAGCTGCAGTGACAGTGGCCAGAAAGGCTTGGCTGGAAAACAGGGTCCATGGAAAGAAAGTGCAGGAGAGGGCAGCTGCATGTTACATGGAAGGTTTTGAATTGGAGAGGCCAGGGGTTTGCTATTGGGAAGGTCCAGAGTTGGAGGGCGATTGCAGCTAAAGAAGGAAGACCATGAAAATAAGGAATTAAAATAGAAAAGCACAGTCAAGGAGGAACAGGGAAGAGAGACTTGTTCCACCAGGATGTACAATTCACTGGATGCTTTGAGAAAGGGTGACCAAACCTTCCTGGCTTACTCATGGGATGCGTCCATTAGAAACATGCAGGTCCCTATGACACAACTCCAGGCACCATCTCTAAGAGGTCTTTAGACTGTTGTTCTTCAATGATATCCCAGAAAAGGGATCAAGAATAATCCAACTGGCTTAATTTTCTCCTGTGCCTTCCCTACTGCCAGGAATAAATTAGGAAGTGTGATGTCTCAGGCAGGTAGAGGGTTGTGTGTGTTCAAAGCTATGTGGGGAAGAAGCAGCTGGCCCAGCAGGGATGCGCTGGCCTGTAGCCCTGGGTTTGTGCTCAAGGCTGAAGCACTGTGGGAGGATAGCTGTATTCTTGTATGCAGTAATAAGCTGCCACATCCTCAGCCTGGGGGCTGCTGATTGTGAAAGTGTAATCTGTCCCAGACCCACTGTTGCTGAAGCGGTCAGAGACCCCAGATGCCCAGTTGGATGCATCATAGATGAGCAATTTTGGAGCCTGCCCAGGCTTCTTCTGGTACCAGGCTATGTGACTGCTAACACTTTGACTGGCCCTGCAGTTAATGGTGACCCTCTGTCCTGGAGACAGAGATAAGGTGGTTGGAGAATGGGTCATCACGATGTCCCCACAGGCACCTGCAATCACAAATGGACAATGATGACACACAGACCACTTTATGGTACACACCTTGAAATATGTCCTTTTAAAAATAAGCTTTCTAATGGCATTACATGCCAATAAAAAATTGAGTCTGTATTGGAAATAGCCAGTATTTCTTATTATATCTAAAAGAATTTTAACTCTTAAAACATATTACTCACTCCAAAAGGATTGTGGCACTTGTGAATTTCTCACCTGTGACCCAGCGCAACAAGAACGTGAGGACCTGCGTCTGTGACACCATCTTGCTGCCCCTGCCCGCCTGCTGCAGCTCAGCTCCCATGGCAAAGGCCCCTTTTATAAACCCTGAGCTGCTGCTCTGGGCCTGGAGGGGTCTATGCAAAGCAATCACTGAGCAAAGAAGTGAGTTTCATAAGCAGTGGATTGTGTAAGTCTCCACTGTAAACCACGAGTCAAACATGCTATCACTGAGGTGTAGTTGTGTGGTGAGAAAAGACACAGAGGTCAATGCAGAAGCTCTCAGATTAATGTTAAAGGCTCTAAAACTACAAACAGCTTGAAGATCTAATGAAGAGCTTCTATTCAAATCCAAAATGTCTTTAAATGGGTTCAGTTTCCAGAAAAGATAGGCTAGGTTCTTCCTATCAGCAATCCTAGTGAAATCGTAAATCACACTGGGGAAAGAAAGAAGGAAGGTGGGAGAGAAGGAGGGAGGGAAGGGAAAGGAAAGGAAGGGACAGAAAGAAAATAGAAACCTTTGGGCCCAATTTTTTGTTAATTCTGTGTCCAGAAAATGTTGGATCACTGGAGCCGCTCTTATCCTAAATTCAATGTAAACCTGCAAACACTTAAGCTTGTGTTTCAGGGCCAGAGAGATAGAAGATGGGCCCAAAATTTCCTTATTTGGAGAGACATTTGGGCCTAATTTGATCTGGGGGCCTGAGGGACTCTAATCTCCAAGTAAATGAACCAAAAAGAAACCCAGACCCTACCCTTCCCACAACCACAGGGAACAGAACAGAGGACTCTAAGTTTGCTGCAGAAAAGGAATGAGAAAAAAATACAAACAAGATTCTGAGGGTAAGTTATGGCTGAAAACCAATCCTTGCAAGGATTTCTATTCCATGTATGCAAGGTTAATATGAGCCTGCCCCTGTCCACTCTTGAAATTGAGGTCAAGATCTTCTTACTGGTGTACATAGAGGGCATCATGCTAAGTGAAATAAGTCAGAGAAAGACACATACTATGTGATTTCACTTATATATGGGATCTAATAAGCAAAACAAACTAAACACACACAGAAACAATCATCAGGACAGAGAACAAACCGGCGGTGGCCAGAAGGGCGGAGTGAGGGGGATGGGAGAGACAGGTGACAGGGATAAAGAGGTACAAACTTTCAGTTGTGAGATCTGTATGTGTGTCTTTGCTCTCATTCTCCCTTGAAGGGTGCCCTCAATCTCAGTCCTGCCTCATTTCACTTCTCTTTTTAAGATTTTAAAATTTCAAGTTTCAGCAGTATTTTTCTAGATCCCTAAACACATCTCTCAGGATATCTAATCCAAAGGACATACATATATTCTATTAATTTCTCATTTCTATCCATTTTGATTCCACATATTCTAAGTATCAATTAAATTGATAATCAAATTGTCTGAATTGCGTTAAAATTTTTGAGACCTTAAATCTTCAATCTAGAAATGATTTTCCCATTAAGTCATTTTCTGAAAACATGTCCTGAGAATGTTTCCTCTGTCTACATACATTCTCTTGGAGCAGGCAGTAGAAAGACATAGGTTGAAAAACTGGAGGAATATTACTCAGCAAAAAAAAATGGATAAACTTTAAATATATGCCTAGTGAGGGGAGTCAGATACAAAAGACCAAATCTGTATGATCCCATTCATAAGACATTTCTAGAAAAGATGAAGTTATATGTCCAGAAAGTAGATCAGTGTTTTCTGGGGCTGATTGTGGGGGCAGTGACTAATTATAAATAGGACCAAGGAAATATTTTTGATGATGGAAGTACTCTGAAGATGGATTGTGGTGGTAGATGTAAAAACTCTATAGTTATTCAAATTTATTAAATGGTACACTTCAGATTGGTGAATATTATGACATAAATTATACATTCATAAACCTACTAAAAAAATGGATCAAATTGCAGTCCTGACAGAAAAGAACTTCATTATCTTAGGCTCTGAAAATATAGATTAGGAAGGTATTAATCCACCAACACAATAATCAGCCTTATATCACAGAAGGGAATTCTGTCCACCCACAGACCACAATGATTGGGAATAGTGGGGAACTCATCAGCCAATTTATTAACAAATACTAGACTTCAGTAAATCCTGCCTTTCTGTTCCCTTCATTGTAATATAGACCAATAAACAAAAATAAGAATTGAAATGATGCAAGAAACTTCAGAGGGAAGCCCCTTCCTACTGTGATTAACAAAATGTCCCTTTATTGGTGGGTTTATGAATGCATAATTTATATATAGTGGAGGTTGGCACACTTTCTGTAAAGGACCAGACAATAACTTTATTAGATTTTGTGGGTCACGTGGTGCTTGTTGCACTTACACAACTGTACCATTGTGGTGCAAAAGCAATCATAGATGACATGTAAATTACTGAGCATGGCTGAGTTCCAATAAAGCTTTATTTACATTCCAAGACTGTTCAGTGTGGGAAAGAATGGTCTTTTCAACAAATGGTGCTGGGACAACTAAATATCCATATACAAAAGAAAGAATTCTAAAGCAAATTTCACCCTAAATACAAAATAACTCAAAAAAACTGGAACAAGACTTAAATATAAATGCTAAAACTCTAACAAAAAACATTGTACATTACATTTTGTTTATCCATTCATTATTTGAGGAACATTTAGGTTGTCTCTACGTTTGATCTATTTTGACTAATGCTGCTACAATCATTCATTATTATCTTGACCTTCAATTTAGAAATGGTTCCCTAGACCTGACATGGAATGCACAAGTAACAAAAGAAAAAAAGAAAATTTGGACTTCCTAAAAATTAGAAATTTTCTGCATCAAAGGACTCTATCAAAAAACTGAAAGGGCAACAACTCACAGAAGTGGAGAAACGTCTGCAAATTGTATGTCTGACAGGGTTCTAGTATTCAGAATATATTAAAACCATTACAAGTTGATAATAAAGACAATCCAATTTAAAATGGGCAAAGAATATGAACAGACATTTCTCTACAGAAAATGTGCAGATGCAATGACCACATGAAAGGGTGCCCAGCATGACTAGTCATTAGGGAAAGGTAAACTGACGCCATTTCACATGCATTAGAATGGCTGTACTCAAGGCAAGCAATAATAAGAGATGGTGAGCATGTGGAGAGACTGGACATCATGCATCGCTGGTGTGAAAGGAAAATGGCACAGTCCCTCCAGAAACCAGCTGGGTGGTGCCTCAAAAAGTTAAACATAGAGTTACCATGTGACTTGTTAATTCTGGATCCTCATACAAACACAAGAGAAATGAAACATATCCAGATAAAGACTTTAAAATGAACAATCGCTGCAACATTATTCAAAATAGATAAAAAGTAGAGACAACACAAATGTCCCTCAAATGATGAACGGATAAACAAAATGTAATATATCCACATGGCGGAACAGCATTCAGTCAGAACAAGAAATGAAGCACTGATACAGGTTACAATATGGAAGAACTTTGACAGTATTATGCAAAGGAAAAGAAGTGGTCACAAAATACTACATATTCCATAATTCCATTATACAAAAGGTCCAGGATAGGTCAATCCATGGAGACAAAAGTAGACGTGTGGTGCCTGGAGCTGGTGGAGTAATGGGGACACAGGGTGTGATCCAACTAAAGGTGCAGATCTCTATTCAAGGTGATAAAATGTTCTGCAGCTACGGTGGGGAAAGGTGCACACACATGTGAACACACAAAACCACTGAAATATACACCTTGAATGTGTGAATTTGGCAGAAGAAACATATGGCAATGAAGCTGTTTGGAAGCCACAGGTCAGATTTGGCCCATGGACTGTGATTTGCTCTCCCTGTGCAAGAACACTTGAAAGAATTTTCCTGAAAACTACTGATGAGCTCAGGGTGTGCCCGGAGGCTGGGATTGCAGGGGTGGGCAGCCAGGGCTGTGTGGCTGAGGTCCCACTGCTGTGGAGAGAGGGAAGTGAGCAGAGAAAGAGGGCGGGTGGGCTGGAGGTTGGGGAGTGACGGTTGGTGATGTGTGAACAGAGGGACAGGGTTCTGAGTGGGCCACCGGGCTTTCCCCACTCCCGAGGCTATGGTGAGAAAACAGCTCAGGGAGGGACGTGCTGAGGGTCTCACGGCCCTTTGGCAGGTGGGGCTGAGCTGACAGGGAGGCCAGGGAGGAGACGCCAGTGGGCAGAGCAGGCACGGCAGTGAGTCCTTCCCCCATCTGCCCCTGGGAGCAGGTCTGCTCAGGGCCTCTCCAGCCCAGGGGGACACTCTCCCTCCGCCTGCTCCCGCCCATCCCTCCTCCCTCTCCTGGTGCAGACGCTTTGTCTAGGAACACACAGCTAGTGACCAAGAAGCAAGGGACACCCAGGGAGGCTTTGGAGTAGCGCGTCTGGGAGGAGTGAGTGGGGGCAGCGGGGCTCCCTGCCTCTGAGGAAGTTCAGGGGCGAGGGGGGAAGCCAAAGCCCTCCAGAGCTCCTGTGGTTCATGAGAGAGGAGGCAGCTCCTTTTCCTCCAGAAGGATAATGAGCTTTAATATCAATAACAGCTGCTATTCAACCCATGGACAGTTATTTATTGAATTTCAAGTGTGGGGCAAGAATTTGACTCTTACTAGTTAATTTGACGCTTTATGACCTGACCTCCATCTCCTAGGAGACTCATCTTGGATATTAGCTGTCCCTGGAAGGAAAGACTTGAGGAATGTCAAGTCCAGTCTGCCCTTCATGATTTACCCAGTAGTCCCATGGTGGCACCTCTAGTGGATGGCAGGGGTGGGCGGTGGACTGTGAATCACGTCCCCCTCCGACTTGTGCATCCACCTTGAGTCTCCTGCGTCCCCACTGCCTGGACCTGCCAAGCCCGGTCCTGCCCCTGGGCCTTTGTCCTGCACCCTCCCTCTGCTGGACACATACACATGCCACTTCCTGCCCACGTTCCAGCCAGTGGCCTGCTGACAGCTCTGCAGAGAGGTCCTCTCCGAACACCTGCTCCATGAAGCCCTTGTTCACACCCACCTGGTGAGGGCATTGCCTGGTCGGATCTCCCTCACAGCACATATCGCTGACTGTGATCAATTTCTCCTGCTTTGTTTCATTGTTGGTGACTCCCCAGGAGAACGTGGACATGAAGACAGCAGCATCTTGTCTGCTCACTATTGTC